TAAACGATGGTGTCACCAGCCTGAGTTTTTACTTTCTAATTAAGGTTTTTTGTTTGTTTGTTTTTTGTTTTTGAAAAGAGGCTGAGTTTGGCTCAATTCTGTGCCCAAAAACCTGGAGCAGCCCAGTTGTTGTGAATGTTGGCTGTTGTTGAAGGTGGTTTTTAATGGTATCACTTCAGGTAGTGAGGTGGTAAATAAATTCCTGAGTGGATTCGTTGTTTTCGTCCAATAAGTGGTGCAGTCCAAACCCTCAGCAGGTCTCTTGGCAGCTCTCCGCCCGCCGACCACTTTGATTTTTCATGGAGCTGCTCAGGCTCGCTCTGCCAGCGAGCGGAGAACGCAGGATTAACCAAACCACTACCAGATATCTTGCTCTCACCAACAAAATTAATTTACTTTGTTTAAAGTTAAAGAAATTTGCGTGTGTGAGTTCCAAGACAAACACAGAACTTGACTCCATTTCTTTATTGAAACGTACTTTTCATGTACTCTTCATTTGTTTTTTGTTTTTTGTTTTTTTTTTTTCAAACATTGTGGTAGTTTTGACACTTTTTGGGTTCTTTTATTGTCCCAATTAGGAGTATTTCAGTAATGGTAAAGGCTTATAAAGCTCACTGATGAGAAGTCAGGAACAAATTGTTTTCCCCATTTATTCATGTGGGTCTATAAAATGTTCAACAACCAGGGAGAAAAAAACATCCATTGCTTTCCTGGTACAACAATGTGCCATTTTGTCTTACAAGACCTCAAATATTCAGAATAAACTCTTTACTGGGCTGAAACACAAACCAGTAGATGTTTGGGGGGGACAGAAAAATCTTAAGGTTGAATTTCTTCACCCATCAACAGTTGGTAAACATTAAGTAAAAACAACTTTTTTAAAATGTGAAGGCTTCACAAGAACAGAGGTGCCACCAAAGATGGGGAACAGGTCTGTGGCCCCACATATTAATTTCCTGGGGCCCCCAACAATCCTAAATGTGTGGTCTTGTTAGTAAAATAATCCTGAACCACTGGATGCATTTTAATGAAACTTGCAGAAACTAATCCGTGTCTGGACATCTGCAACAACGAGCTAACCTCGTCCAAAATGACCGTACACTGCCTTTACTGTTAGAGTTGGAGCTAGAAGTGAAAAAAGATGAAAGTATGGCTTTATGTATTCAGTAAACTTGACAAAATGATTTCTCTGAAAATATAAGAAATTGAACAGAAAATCTGGGAAACTTTGAACTCAAGGTTTAACTTATTTTCACAAAGCTCAGTCAGGGCCTGTTTCAATCTTAATCTCTGAAAGTAGGAGGACATTTAAAGAATTGTCAGAACTTAAGTGTAAATGCTATTTATCAAGTCTTAAGTCTAAGAATCACTTTTTGTTCTCCCAGATATGAGACCGCTCCAGAGTTGCCACTAAGATGGACTGAGACGACAGATCTGTCCTCCCCAACAATACACTGCACCACAGGGGTCCCCCACCTGAGGGGGATTCTCAGTTGAAATGTACAAAGTGATTAAAATAAGGCGTGGAAAACAGGTTTAGGTATGCAAATGTCTTAAAAAACAAATGAGGGGAAAAGATTACATATACCATAATGTTGGACTTAAAGGTGCATATTTCTAAGATAAGATAAAACTTTATTGATCCCACAGTGGGGAAATTTGCACATTAGATCAGCTCAAACCAGGACAGGGTGAGATGGAATAAAAAATAAGTAAAAGAAAAACAAAAACACTATACTCGTGATGTATAACAATGTACATATACCTAGTACAGTACATAAATGAATATATATGCAGGTGCATATTACTGATGGCAGTGTAGGTGAATTGTCCAAGTGACTAACATCATGATGTGTTATACAGTCTAATGAATGTGCAGGTTCTGGAGAGAATATTACAGATCAGATGAGGAAATGCAGCCTACATGAGACAGTCTGTGTGTTGTTGACATTGGTCAAGATATGTATATATATGCGTGTGTGTAATTTTAACTCGGCCTTCATGAAATCTGTAAATTTAATTTAAACAAACTTGAATGATACGATGGATGTGGTGTGTGTGTGTGTGTGGGGGGGGGGTGTCATGCAGGCATTTAAGTGGAGGAGGAGGATGTGAATTTATTTTGAAGCTGAGTTTTTGAAAACCCTGAGACTTTTTCTGTCTTCATGCAAAATGGTCTGTACAACCTGACCATCGACATGTCCATGAACATTATTACATCACCGTGTTGAATGTGGACTTTATCTTAGGATTTTCATAATTTTATCTTTTATTACTCAGAATTAAGCCTGGGCGATATGGCCCAACAAAAATTAGATTTTAAACTTTAATCGATTTTGCTTCCCTCTCAACGGAGTGCCTCTGTTTCAGATATTGAAACAAGTTAGTTGTACTCCTGCTTTTTGTAGCAAGAGCCTTCAGATTTTGCAGTGAGGTGTTCGTTGCTCCAAGTCCAAGGTTGTAAAACCTAACCAGTTCCAGAAAACTGAAGAAACTGGGCCTTTTTTGAGAAGTAGATCCTCTCTGCTGGCTGCTGTATTGTCATGTAAGTTTCTTCAGGGACAGGGAGGGTGACCTCTGAATTAACAAGCTCCAAAGAGTGCACTGGTGAGAAGAAAATCTTGATTTTTTTTTCCCCCCAAAATTAAATCTTTATAAATGGCAAAATCAAATTAATCGGTTTATCGCCCAGCCCTACTCAGAATATTCTTGAACATGAAATCAATAGATTTGTCCTTACCTGAGGTTTTCAAACATCCAGGATTGGCTTTGTGACAGGTTGTTCTCAGTGTTTAGTTTGTTTCATAAAGTACAGTATAAATGCAAACTAGGGTTGGGCGATATTGGCAAAAAAATTAATCACGATTAATTGTGGTATTTAGCCGATAACGATTAATTTGACGATTAATTTCCTGGAGTCCCTGGACACGCTTATGTCCTCGTCACATGACCAATTTAGTGGGAAAGATTTGCTCTTCATAAAATTTTATTTTCTAAATTGTGTCAAAATCACAGACTTCAGGCTGTACATCAAATTTTAATTGTGTTGATGGATAAATTACAGAACTTTTGCTTAAATGTTCGTCATATTTGAAGAGGAGAGGAGCACAGAGCGGACTCTGCTTGGTGGCATTAATCGCATTAATCGTCAAGTGCCAAAAAATTGATTAATGTTTTTCTGACGATTAATTGCACACGATACGATTATGCCCAACCGTAGTTCAAACACTATCTGAAAATGTACAATCTTGCAGTTTTGGTCCTCAATCAAACTGAGTCTACTGAACTACTGGGTGTGAATACAACCTTTGATGCTTGATAAGTGACTTTTAATCCCAGCTTTGAGCCAAGAGGTTTTTTTTTTTTTACACTTAAAACCATTCTTGACAGCATTAAGTAAAATTCCAGGAAATTGGATAAAAACAGGCCCAGGTCATGTAGAGTTACACTGTTCTGAGGTCTGAAGAGACTCAGCTGAGTTAGTTAGTCCTTTTTGCACAGGAAACACAAACTCTTTTTATATATAGTTTCTGCGGGCCTTGTAGTATTACTATAATACCCAGTTTCCCCCATTGGGATTAATAAATGCTGTTTTTCCATCACACACATGGAGCAGAGGGTCTTACTGATGGGCCCACAGTGGTACAGATGAGGGTAGAGGCAGATGTAGGTGCTTCACCTTTCACTCCCAAATATCTTGTGATCTGCAACCTCATCACAGTCCCACCTTGTTACCACTGCACCCTTCCTCCGCAAAACACAAACACACAACAGGCCGGATCAGTTTCTGATCTCGTCCTTTTAAAACAATCAGTGGGAATTTGGTTTCAGAGCATCTTTAGAGTTAGTTTTGCTAATTTAGTTTGGAGTATTTTTACTTATTCTGTCCTTTTTTTTTTATGGGCTTTAATCAGTGTGAATTCCTTTATCATTTTTACATCCGAACGTTTTTGGCTCGTTTCTCGTTCCACAATTTTTTTCAAAAAATTGTGTTCCAAAATATTTCAACAATTCATATATCAAAATGTTCAGCTCATTCAGGACATTCCAGCTATGACTTTTGGCATTTCTGCTATTTATACTTTTTAGCTATTTCACACTTTTAGCCAATTTTTTTTGCCATTGAAAATGAATGGAGTTTTTTCAACATCCTTAAAATCCTTCAAATTGTTTCTAAAACTTTTCAAAACCTTACACAATTTGTTCTGGTTTTGCTCTTATTAAATTCTTTGACAATTTTTGCTCCTTTTTTTGGCAAATTTTAGCTTTTTTTTTTCTAGTGATTTAGCTAGGTCTGCCCTTTTCTGTTACTCTTCTGTTAATTTTTTACTTTTTTTTGTGCTTCATTCTGCTATTTTGAGTTATTTATGCTTCTCAGTTGCTTTTTCTATGTTCAGCTATTTTAGATTTTAGCTTTTTTATGCTAATTCAGCTACATTTTTGCTCCTTTTTTACTAATTTTCTGCCTTATTTTTGCTTTCAGATTTCCAGGTTTAACTTTAACTTACTTTTGCTATTAATCATTTTCAGCTGTATTTCAGTGGCTTTCAGCTGAAGTTCTCAGCAACAGGCATTCATTCACACTAGCATTTTTGCAGGAAATGCAATTCTCTAGTTTCTTCTTTCACTGCACAGGTTATGTATGTTCAATGATAAGTCTGTAACACTGAACCTGACACAGTGGCTCAAGTGAATGCAGTCATTAGTGTTTCCATGGAAGTGGGTCATGTTTTGTTGAATCATTGTTCTGAGGTCTGAACAGATATTCAACAGGTGAAAGGCCATGCAGTTGGGTTTGTTAAACTGTTAGATTTTTAGCTTAGAAGCTGAATTAAGCAGCCGTGGACATCTGCCTTCACATCAGATCAACTTCAGTTACATTTTGAACTTGTTGTTTAAATCAGCAGTGAACCCCTGAAGGAAATGAATGTCTTCTAATATAGATCATGAGATTGTCTCTTGCTTACAGTTCAGTCTCTACCTTCTTTCCTTTGACTCAGATCTGATTTAGGGCTCCAGTGTCCTCAGCACCATGAGTTGGAGTTTCCTGACGCGGCTGCTGGATGAGATCTCCAACCACTCCACTTTCGTGGGGAAGATCTGGCTCACCGTGCTCATCGTCTTCCGCATCGTGCTGACGGCCGTCGGCGGTGAAACCATCTACTACGATGAGCAGAGTAAATTTGTCTGCAACACGCAGCAGCCTGGGTGTGAGAACGTCTGCTACGACGAGTTTGCTCCCCTCTCTCACGTCAGGTTCTGGATTTTCCAGGTGAGTTGTGTGGGCGAGGCTCAAAGCTTTGGGAAAACGATCCGCCGACCCTCTGACTGACTCGTGTTTCATCCAGGTGATCATGATCACCACCCCCACCATCATGTACCTGGGCTTCGCCATGCACAAGATTGCACGCATGGACGACGGCGAGTACCGGCCTGTTAGGACCAAGAAGAAGAGGATGCCCATCGTGAGCCGCGGGGCGGTGCGTGACTACGAAGAGGCGGAGGATAACGGAGAGGAGGACCCTATGATCGCTGAGGAGATTGAACCGGACAAGCCAGAGAAAGAAAACCCACAGAAAAGTAAGGAAGCTGTTTTTCTTTTTGTTTTTTGTTTTTTAAGTTTCGCAAAGATGTACTGATTGAGTTGGCCAGAATCGGCCAATTTTAGCTTGAACTGTGAAAGATGGATCTTAAAAAAGCTTTTTCCACCTCTAAATCATAAATCTGTAACTTCAAGGATCCAAGTCCTGCTCTAGAGTGATTAGACTAGGATGTAGGTTTAGGTGACAGGATGAATCAGCTGATCACTTGATTTGATTTTTTTTTTGTCAGCTAGTTTAGTTAAACTCTTTTTTTTTATAAATTGTGTTGTAAATTAATGCATAATGTAAATCTAAACCTCCACACTAAATACACACAGATTGCAGTTGTGGATAAATTTCACACACAGCCTCTGACTTCCTGTTTGTCGGTCCAGTCTGTCATTGACTTTAAAGCAATTCACAGATCTTTGAGCAATAAAACTTGGTGAAAAATTATTACATAAAATGACGAGATACAAATGATTCTTAAGAAATCACAAGTAAAATGACAGTGGAAAGCATTTAATTGTCATTATTTTCAGATTTTATAAAATGGATGGTGTACAGGTTGCTCTTAAAAGATAGCTGTATTATTTTTTACAGGGTGAGTCAAAAGTATCAGGACACGTTTTTTATTTCAGAAAGAAAAGAACATGAAATACATTGGAAAAAAGGCCACTCCAAAAATAAGTAAAAAAAATTAATATAAGATTTTTTGGCTTGAAATAAGCAAAAAAATCTGCCAATGGAACAAGTTAAAATTCTCTTGACAAGATTTCTAAAAATAAGACATTTTGTTCAAGTCAAACAAGATAAGCGGAATCTTGAAACTAGCTACAAAAATCTAATTTTAAGCAATATTTTACTACAATTTTCAGCTTTTTGTCTCTTTATAATAAGCTTGTGATGCTCAAAAGTAGTGCACTGAAGAAAAGTCTACTCTGAAAACAAGTTTAAAACAACTTAAAATGAGATTTTTTTTTGATTGAAATAAGCAAATCTGAGTAACCCAGCAAGTTAAGGGGCCAATCTTTTAGGCTGTGTCAAGAAAATGGCTGCCGTCTTCAAGGATTCAAGGATATTAATTTGTCATTCCCTCAAACACAAACATCAGATGTTCATGAAGGGTAACGAAACTGGTTGCACAGATCCCGATGTTCAGCGTGAACGATAGTGAAAAATAGTACAATAAAACTGAAATATTTACATAAACAAGCATCGACAGCTGCAGCAGACAAGTGCAAAATGAAACATCTATACAACAATAGCAGCAGGTGGCGTTTTGTTTTTTCTCCACGAAACTTAAATTCTACAATCTTGGATCAATAGGATGACTTCTGACATCCTGTGTATTGTGGATTCTGGTTTTCTTTATACTTTGTGATGGATTGGTGCCATATTTTTTGCCACATTCAGACTAATGCTGATAAGAAATCTTTAAATTTCTCTCCTAAACCTGTTGCCTCTGACTCGACCATGGAAAAGCCACTGAAAGTGAAAACGTCTTGTCAATAAACGAGCAAAGAGATGGTCTGCAGATTGCTGAAAAGATGGCAAATACCAGTGCAACTAATCAGCCAAATAACCAGTCTATATCTGGGGAAAAGTTTAGTTTTTGTTTAGCTGCAAATGTTTTATCACAACCTTTCACATCTACACTGTAAAAGCTGTCCACCTAAACAAGTTTTAAAATCTTACATCAGCCAAAGTCTTTTTGATCTTGTTTTGAGACTGATTTACTAAACAAAAACTGATTTTGTCTTGTTAGTCTGAAAATTTGACTCAAATTAAGTCAAAAATTTCTGCCAATGGAGTAAGAAAATTTTACTTGGTAAGATTCTTGAAATAAGAAAAAAAATTAAGTCGAATCAAGTATATTAAGAATCTTACCAAGTAAAATTTTCTTACTGCATAGGCAGAAATTTTTGACTTTAAAGGCAGTGTGTAGGATTTCATCAAGTCTTTTCGCCGAAATTAAGATAATCACTAATGACAATAATTAAAAAAAAAAAAACATGTCTAATCATTGCAGACAAAGACATTATTATTTTTACCTTTATAAAAAGCTGTTTAATCTCCATGGTCGCGGGTCGCCACTCAGGTAACCGCCATCTTGTCTACGAAGACTCATGAAGGACAAACTGTGGTGGCGGCGTCAAACGATTTTAGTTTGTAATACTGTAATATTTTTTGTCTGTCTGCTACATTTACATCAGATTAAACAGCCGTTCGGAATAAAATGTGTCATGTAAACAGCCCGTTCCGATTATTCTGATCCGATTGAGCTCGATCCGAATGAATTTTTAATCTGAATGAAAGGGGTGGGTTATGCTGACTGATAATCGGAATGAGGTTCATGTAAACACTTAATCGGATCATCTTATTCTGATTGTAGAAAACTGARCTGTGCGCATGTCTGCTGACTTTCATTCACCCGGTGGGACAGCAGCGCTCCAGCTGTGCAGCACCGTGCAGAACTTTTCCTCCTCGCTCTCTTAACAGATGAAAAAGGAGGCAAACAGCAGACGTTGCTTCGCAAGAAATAAAAATAAAAAACACATATTGCTTCATCTGCAGGCTGCAGCTCAACCGAGGATTATGGCGTCTGTACCGTTATTAAAAACTGACATGGGTCTGTCCTGAGCGCACAGAGGAGCTTTATGTTTGTAACACCGAAGTAGAGCTGAACGTTTACAACACTGTGCATGTCCGGACTTTTATTCTGAATAAAACTCTGGTGCATGTAAACACTTTTCATGATCGGATTGTGTCCATGTAAACAGTACATTTGGATTATTTAATCTGAATACATTTCAATCAGATTAAATAATTTTGTGCATGTAAACATAGCTGGGATAATTTTACTTATTAAAGCTCATAATCTTACCACTTGAAACATCACTAGCCCTGAAGCTGCTGGTAGACATCGCGGTTGGAATTATCAAAGGTTTTTGACACCTGAGAGACACCGTAGCGTTTGGAAGTGGGGGTGGGGGGAGGACCAGGGAGGATTATTCAACCACTCAACCACTAGATGTCGCTGAAAACAACAAATCCTACACACTGTGCCTCAAGTCAAATTTTCAGACTAACAAGATAAATAATCTTACACATTCTGAAAACAAGATTATTCTTACACAATCAGTTCTTGTTTAGTAAATCAGTCTCAAAACAAGATGAAAGACTTTTTGGTTGGATATAAGATTTTAAAACTTGTTTAGGTGGACAGACGTCTGTGTGGAATTAAAAAAAGTTTGGAATCGGCTTAGATGGAAGCAATTATTGCATCTGTAACAAAAGGTTTATTTCCTCCTTGAGATTCTGATCAGTGTTTGTTGTTTTAAGGCCCAGAGAAAAAGCACGACGGTCGTCGGCGGATCCTGCGGGACGGCCTGATGAAGGTCTACGTTTGCCAGCTGTTTTGGCGCTCCGCCTTCGAGGTGGCCTTCCTCTTCGGCCAGTACGTCCTGTACGGCTTCGAGGTGATCCCTTCGTACGTGTGCAGCCGCTCCCCGTGCCCCCACACGGTGGACTGCTTCGTGTCCCGCCCCACTGAGAAAACCATCTTCCTGCTGGTGATGTACGTCGTGTCCTTCCTCTGCCTGCTCCTCACCCTCCTGGAAATGATCCATCTGGGGGTCGGCGGCATCCGGGATACTTTCCGCAAGCGAGCAGCTCTCAACTCGCGTTCCCAGCGCCCGCAGTCGGGCCGCTCCATCCCCACGGCTCCGCCCGGCTACCACTCCGCCATGAAGAAGGAGAAGCTGAAGGGAGAGCTGAGGGACTTGCCGATGGGCGACTCCGGGCGGGAGAGCTTCGGGGACGAGGGCCCCTCGTCCAGGGAGCTGGAGCGGTTGAGGAGGCACCTGAAGCTGGCGCAGCAGCATCTGGACCTGGCATACCAGGCGGATGAAGGAAGTCCTTCGCGCAGCAGCAGCCCGGAGGTCAACACAGCTGCACAGACAGCTGCTGAGCAGAACCGCCTCAACTTCGCCCAGGAGAAGCAGGGCGAGTCAACCGAGAAAGGTAGTGACATCACCGTTGGTTCGTGTCTTCAGGTTCAACAGATTCTGTGGCGTTGCCATTTCTTACACATAAAAGTTTATTTGGACTGTCTTCAATTAAACCAGAACCTTTAAAATAACTTTCAGACCCAAATCATTCCTAAAACATTTAGAGTTGGCACTTTATAAATGCCGTTTTTACAAAGAGATGGGGAAACCTACAGCTGTCATTAATTAGAAAACAAAACAACTCGAGTGGTTATACAACAGCTGCAGAATGTCTTCAGAAAATGATGTATTGGTCGAAAAACCTGCACAGATTTCAAGATGAAAACCTAAAATTGAATTTGAAGTGGAAAAAAGAAAAGTCAGATTAAAGCTGTAAATCTTTGAGAGAATGTTTGTTTGCAGAGCCAGGACTTTAGTCAGGTGCCCTTTGTGAAGCTTCAGCTTCATGAACTGCTTTCATCTGCAGACAAACTTCACTTTGAAATAAAGAGACAAATTATTTACTGACATAAAATCAGGGAAGTGGCCAATGGAAAAATCCGACTTCAAAAGTTTAAGAATTCAAAATATCTTTACTTTTACACACCTGACTCAAGTTTTTTTTTTACCAATAAGTTGGAACAAACCAGGTCTTCATTAGTCCTCAGCTGCAGGTTCAGACCAAAGCTGATTGTCAAACCAAGACGTGAGCTCTCATGACAGAAAATAAAAATAATCCAGTTGAAACCAGATTGACTTATATCCTATATAAAGACACTCTTTTTCCTCTCTAAAGGCTCTGTCACTGTTGGACAACTTATTCCAACACTACAGTCTGTTTAATATAGATTCATTCTGTAACTCCGAGTTGAACGTGTATAACCTGCAGTATTTGAGTAATTCATAAACTTTACATAAGTCTGCATGAGTTGTCTAAAACAATGTTTCCCAAAGTTGGGGTCGGGACCCAAAGTGGGGTCCCGAAACATCAAGGTGGGGTCCTGAAAAGATTTTCTGAATTAATGACATTTTTGCCTCAGTTGTTACAAAGGAGTGAGGTTAGTATATTTAAAATGGATAAATGTAGTATAAAAATATTGTTACTATGCCCATGTTTAGTTGACCTGATACAAATGTTTATCATCCAGAAACAGTTGGGGTCATAGGTCTCTGCTACTGTTATTTTGTGGGTCAAAAGCTGAAAAGTTTGGGAACCACTGCACTTTGGTTCCCAAAGTTGGGCTTTGGACCCAATTATGGGTCATGAAGCACCTTGGATAATCTCCAGAAACCAATTTAAAGGCTAATAAAAATTTCTGATGTAATATTTTCCCTATAATTATTACAAAAACACAACATAAATATAAGTATTTATATTTGTGTACAAGCTGTTTAGATTGTCAAAGCCTGTGTTTTTAGGGTTATTAATGAAGTTTGTGTACTCAGACCAGTAATATTTGGGGTCACAAGTTTTTGCCATGAATATTTTGTGGGTCAGAAGATAAAAAGTTTGGAAACCACTGCTCTAAAACATTGTGACAAAATCAGATCTAGATCAGTCTAAAGCAGGGGTCTCAAACTCTGGTCCTCCAGGGCCACAATCTTACATGTTTTAGATGTTTTCCTGGTCCAACACACCTGACTCGGTGACTGAATTAAGTCTTCAAATTGTGCAGAAGCCTGATCATCACCCATTCATGCAAATAAGTGCTTTGGAAGAGAGAAACTCAGGGTTGCAGTTCTCAAGGACCAGAGGTTTAAGACCCCTGGTCTAGAGGTTACAGCTTTTTTGAGGAGGACAATATAACTAATTAGGTCAAAGTACACTGTATAAAATGACATAACTTTGAAGAAAATGAAGATGGAAATATATTACCAAATCTACCTGAAGAGTCTAATAAAATCCATAAAAATTATCTTTTACTGCACATTTTTAATTTAAAATAACTAATTTTAAAGAACAGAGGTTTAAAAATTAAAAGGAAAAAAACCAGGATTTAATACTTTTGTTTCCAAATAGTATTTTGTTTCTATAAAGTACTAACAGTGTTTTTTCTCGATAGAGGTTTCAGTCGTTGCTTGACCCCCCCCACCCCAACACACACACAGACACACACACACAGACACACACCAGCAGACCCTGATGGGTCAGTTTAGTTGTGGAAAAAAAAATCAAAGTTTGATCATATTACAATTTATTTGGACAAAACCTCAACACCCCCCCCCCCTTTTTTTTGCCACCTGCCTGTTTTTACAGAATATATTTTGATTGAAGTTTTATCTGCAGTTGAAAATGTTTAACAGTTTAGTTAAATTTTCTAACCTCATCTGTATTAAGATGTTTAAATCCAGTCTTGATCTAAATGTTTTATCCTTTCTTTGCAGGACTCCGTGCCTGAGCATGCTTCCTGCATCAGACGTCTGTCCTCCTACTGGCCTTAAACGCATCGTGTGTGTGTGTGTGTGTGTGTGTGTGTGTGTGTGTGGTGGGGGAGAGAGAGAATCACATATGGGATTGCAGTCAGACCACTGAGGGAGACCAGAATGTTGTGTGTGTGTGTGTGTTTGTGCGTTCTTGTGTGTATGGACAAGCGATTTGTGCCTTCAGTATTAGTGGTCGGTGTAAAGCCCAGTTGCTGAGCGAGCCACGTTGTGACAAATGTTTAAATCTCCATGTCTCTAAAACTTGAAATCCTGCCACATCTGGAGTTTGTGCTTCATCCAAGCCTTCCTTGAAACAGCCTGTACGCCCCGCGCCGTCTTCCTGCGGCCACATCGGATGGTTATTATTCCAAGCTTTAAAGTCCTTCTGGCTGAGCCATCACTTTTTGTATTTTTCCACAAAAGGAGTTTCTCTTTTTATGAACTGTCACTGAATGTTAACGTCTCCTTGTTGTGGCTTGTTGTACTCTGAGTCTCACAGAACACAGCCTAGGGTAACTACTTTCTCAGAGTGTGTGCAAGGTCCTTTTTTTTTGTAAACAAATTGGTCCTCAAGGTTCATTGAGTTCGTTCCACCACAAATGTTTTTTGAACTTTTTATTTTAAAATCTGCGTTCTTGCTCCAAATCGGCCGAGATCTGTACCTGGGCAATGCTTGAATTCTTCTTCTTTGAAATGAAATGTTTAGTGCAGAAATGATTCTCAGTCCATCAGTTAAAATAATCTGTAACTAGCGCATCTTTTTTTTTTTTCTGCATCATGTACTCCACCTGCCTCATGTTACAGCTTAAAGTAGGATGTTTTCTAGAAACCTTTTCTGCCTTCAAATAAGTATTACAGAAAGTATTGCAGAGTAGCTGAAAGCATCAGTTGAAATATTTAATACCTTTTTTTTGCAGTTGACTTTTCTTTATGGTAACATTTGTCATCTCTAACAGTTCTGTTTGTGCTCAGTCGTTACGCTGAGGTGCATCCTGAGGATGAAAAACTCCAACTTTTCCTACATCCTGAAACCAAAAGTTTGTAAAAATCAGTTTCCAATCTGTGGCTGCAGGAATGCCAAAGATTTGTTCTTTTTGCTTTAGTCCAGTTTTTACAGGAACGACATTCCATTTCAAATATCTTTCAGTGCTTCCTTTTTTATTGAACGTTTTGTAGTTTTCTTTTTGTAACTGTAGAGATTATTTTGTCTTAAGAGTAAAATAAATAAATATATTTGAATTAAACTGGTTTGGCCTGAGTTTGTGTTGAATAAACTTAATGACAGTTCTGGTCCTGCAGCGCCATCTATGGACCATTTGTTGCATTACAAACGAAAATTTAAAGGGACGTCTTGGCCTAATGTTCTCTATTAAAGGGTCAGGCTGTTATTTCTACTTCTCTTCCCTGTCAACAAGCTCCAGTTTCATTTAAAGGGCTGAATGTCGGATATTGTCCAAAATTAGCACCTGTAAGAATCATTACCTCAGTTTTTGTAAATAAGGTGGCATTGTTCATGTGACTTTCATTTAGAAAACTAAACTTATTGTTTTAGTCTTGTTTTTATAGTTAAAGGGAATTATTAAATGTCTTGTTACTACTTGCTTCTGTTTTGAGCTATGAGGAGCAGAGGTGTCCAAAGCATTTCATTACTCAGAAATATAAATGCTGAGGTTTAAAGACTTCAGCTAAAGTATCAACTCAAGTAGTTTTGAAACCAGTACTTAACCGGAGTAAAAGGCTTGACATACAAAAGTAATGTAAGCTAAATGGCCATTAACTGGGAATAAAAGCTTTCCAGACTGACATTTTCATTTAACTTTTATTTCTGCCATATTGTCTGGAACTGTCTTCGTGCTGTGCTGTGGAGGACTGGAACTGAAACTACAAATGAAAACTGTATAAATGGCCCAATAAATAAATACACTTAAAATGCACCAATTTAATGAAAGGACCATCCCATATTTTAATTTGACCATATTTTTCCAGCTTAAAACAAGTTATATATTTTAGCACTAAATTTAAATTTTACTGTCTGTAGCCTACATGCATTTGTCTCAAATTTTTTTATTTCATTTTTTAGTTTTTCCCCTAGTATGAAAGCCCATTTCTGCCACCCTGATAAAAAATAAAACTTGTATCTCATTATTATGACTTAGCTATCTCATTATGAGATACTAATTATTATGAGACACGATCTAATTATTATGAGACACTATCTCATAATTATGCGATACTATCTCATAATTATGACTTAGCTATCTCATTATGAGATACTAATTATTATGAGACACGATCTAATTATTATGAGACACTATCTCATAATTATGCGATACTATCTCATAATTATGACTTAGCTATCTCATTATGAGATACTAATTATTAGACACTATCTAATTATTATGAGACACTATCTAATTATTATGAGACACTATCTCATTATTATGAGACACTATCTCATTATTATGAGACACTATGTCATGAGATACTATCTCATTATTATGACTTAGCTATCTTTTGATAGCTAAGTCATAATTATGA